AGCAGAAGGGCCCCGTGTTATTAAGTTATTGAAGTCCAATAGCGACAACTTCTTTTTTCTGGGCCAATAGTGACAACTGATGTATATGTGGGTGGTCAAAAATAGCCCCACACTTCAAGTTTGACAATACTCCCATATCTCCCATCTACACTTCATTCATTTCTCGAGATTTAAATTACATAAATTTTAATTAATATTTTAAAATACTTTTTATCCTTTTGATATGATAAGAATTGAAACGTATAGTAACGCTATTATATTAATTTAATTTTAAATATTGAGTTGATCTATTCTAAATTTTGCTTCAAAGTTTAATAAAATTAATTTTCGAAAAACTAAAAGAGTCACATAAATTAGGAAGGAGGAGTAATATTTCGGTACAACAGCAGCTCATATAATTAGTACTTTTGCTTTATAAACAGCTAATTCCATTAAAATGATCCAAAATAGTGTATTAAAGCACTTGATTGTCAGAACAGGCTACCTTCATGAAATCTTATGACATTGCCTACACCCTTAAAAGCGAAACCTTTCTCTATTTCAGTTAAAATATGATATATTAATAGATTATGTATATACAATATATGTGTAGCAACTTTGACTAAACGTGTTTTAAAAGGAGGTGTAGAAACAAAATTGGCGGCTGCCCCAGGTCCAAACCAAGATGTTGCACTAGCACATGCTTGAATTTTCATGTGTATCTGAAAGTCGAAAAAGGGTATTTTTTTAAAAAAATATTACGGGAGAAGAATTTTTTTTTAAAAAAACGTTTATCTAATGGGAGATATTAATTCCATTCCATTCCTATATCCAAAAGTCAAACCACATGCCATAAAAACTTTTACTCTCTCTCGTCCCATGCCAAATTTCATTCGGAAACAGTTATTCCCTCTAGCCTCATGTCATAAATGACTTTTTGGCCTTTTTATTTTGATCCAAAATAAGTATTTTTTTTACATAATAAAAAAAAATTAATTTTATTTTTTCAAAATTTGCTCTTATTTACATATTTCAATGTGTGAAGGTAACAATTAATTAAGGAAGCTGCTCAACTGGATAGGTGTCATTAGAAATCAAATGGCCTAGGAAGATGAACTACACTGGGCGATGCAACATGCTAGTGGGAGCAGTCCAAAAGCTGAGGTATACAAAATGCTACTAACGGTTGTTGTTTACCATGTGTGCATGGAAAGAATTATAGAGTGTTTCAAGGCAAGCAACAGAGTATTAAGGTACTGGCTAGACAGATAGTTCAGGAAATCCATTTTAGAGATTCAATGAAGGTGAAGATTGCAAAGTGGCTAGGAGAGCTTAAACTACTACCCAACCTAATTACTTTTGTTATTGAGATGATCTTTTTGCTATTTTAGTTTCTAAGCTTAGACTGAAGGTTGAGACTTGATGTTCAACATTCAGTGTTTGTATATTGTACATAACTTCAATTTTGGTAATAAAAATCTAACTAATTACCAAAAAAAAAAATTAAGGGTAATTTAGTGAATACATTTTTTTTCTAAGAGTTCGTATTTTCTTAAGGGGTGCCCCAAAGATTAAAAAATATGGACCGGAGGGAGTATATTAATGAGAATTGAATGACAACTCATAGACAGGAGTCAATATTAAAGACATTTTAAAGATATAATATACCTAATTTGTTGATTTCCATAACACATAAAAACAAGAAGATCGAAAAAAGAACACGGAAAGGGGCTTTGTAGTACGGTGAAATGATACCAGGTTGGCGCTTAGATTTCCTATTTAACATATCAAGTGTTTAAAAATTACTCAGGACCCGTTTGATTATAAATTTTGCAAAATATATTTTGGTTTTTTTATTCATATTTTGACAAATTCACAAGGAATTTTTACCTCCTATAGCAAACCTTTACACCTTATTTATTATAAATAAATACCGTTTTATAAAATTATATCCTATAGCTACCTTTTAGGTTTTATAGCAAATTATTTATTTATGGTCATTTCCTACTGTTAAGCCATTAAATACGCTGTGAAATATTTTTCTCTCTCATACTTTCTGTTCTCTCTCTCCCAATAACACTGGTATTGTATACAATCTTGTTAAACTCACGCTCTCTCTCCACTATCTCTCTCCAAACCCAGTATCTTCCCCACGAATACAATCTCCATTATCAACTAATTCATCACCATTGTCTCTCTCAATTTTCAAAATTGTTTGCCCAAGAGAATTTCAAGCTGCCTGCACTTGATCCTCCTCACTAGATGTGTCATGAATCTATTATCACATCTAGCGAACAAAATCTGAAGGAAATCCAAGCCGCGCGCATCGTCGTTTAATCCCATCATCATCTTTTTCATAATCTACTAAGAGAATACAGAAGGGACACAACAAACTGCAACAATCAACACGCCTGCTTGGCTACGGCAAGTTGCAACAAACGCTCAAGATGTATTTGCAGGTTCAACAGCAAATACAGTTGCAGAATGACACATCGAAACAAGCCCAATCTGAGAAATTTCCGAAAGAATCAACATTTTCACTGTTTGTTTTTAGATATATTTAGATATATTTGGTTGTGTTTAGATGACTTTCATTGTAGTACTTATGAATGTGTTATGTATTTCAAATACACATATGTATTTTACTGATAAATAGTTATTACAGTGACTTTCACTGTTTGTTTTTAGATATATTTAGTTGTATTTAGATGTATTTACAAGACTTCCACCGTTGTACTTATGAATATGTTATTTATTTCAAATACATGTATTCATCTAAAATGAGTACATGTTTTGAAAATCTACAGAATGATAGCAACAGAAAAAGGAGGGATTGAAAATCTAGAGATTGTTCTGTTTTGTGGTCTTTTTTGGCTGGAAAATCTTTTCTTTAACGTGAAATACAGATTGTGCGTATTATAATTGAGTTAGTTGAGTTATATTAGGAGTCTATCGCGTTAATTGATTCACTTACCGTTTTAAACAGCTGAAAAGACCATTTTTTACACAATTTACATTACTGTATTCACAAATACAGCTCGCGAATACAGTCGAATACAATCGAATACAACTGTTTATTAGCTGGATTCCCCTGTTTCACGCCGAGTTTTGCTATAGTATTCATGAATACAGTAGCTTAAATACATTGAATACACTCTATAACAACTGAAAACATAGCTATAGGAAGTAATTTAGTAAATGGTAGCTATAGCTAGCTAATAACCACTAAAAAATAGTGATTTGTGAAAATTTCTCAAATCCCAATAGCCAAAACCCAAATCCCAAAACCAACTCAAGAGAGCTGGTTTTGGCCCAAAATATCACTATTATATTTTAAAAATTATCCCAAACTTTTGTATTTTATAAAAGAGCCCACCATTTATTATTTTGTAACAATGATGCTTCGTCTTCTCGGTCATCTGATAGTGTCTTATGTAGGTCATTATAAAATGATAATTTTGTACCACATTTATTTATATTCAGGGCTATGGTTTGCGATAATATAATGAATGTTATTGATGAAGGTACTGGTGGGTATTCGTGATAGTTTATAGAACTTGTGGGTATAAGTCATGTTTCATATTTATTTTAAAAAAAAAAAGTGAAATATGTTTTAAAAATTAATATCCAAACACATTTTCATCTTCAAACCAAACTTCACCCAAATCAGAATTTCCTATGCTAGCAAGGCCTCATTTGTTTTTTTTAAGATTAAGTTGTCTAAATCTGAATACACATATGAACATCAAGATGTGTATTAAGATTAAGACATCTGAATCTGAATACACATCTGAATATATTAAGGTGTGTATTAAGATCTGAATACTAAATAATTAAGACTGTTTGATTTTAAACATCTGAATATATAAAATTTATCTTTATTCGAAAATTAATAAACATAAAATTCAAATGAATTACTAACTAATCTAATATTCTAAATCAATAAAATATATAGTTTTTTAAAATATGATAGTTGTTGATGGTGATGGCTAACAGGAGAATGCCGACTAGAGGCGGTGGTTGGTGGTAGTTTTGGTTGATGATGGTGGTTCATGCTAGTAGCTAGTAGTGATTGATAGTGGTGGCGATTATAATTGAGGATGGTGGTGGTGATAGTTAATATGGCGGGTGGTGGTAGTAGTTATGACTGAGGAATGTGGTGGGTAGGTGGTGATAGGTTATAATGATGGGCAGTGCCGGCTGTAGTTGTTGATGGTGATGGGGTGGTCAGTTGTGGTAGTTGAGGTGGATGAGTGTTGATTGTGGGTGAGAATGATGGTGGTCGGAGTGGTGGGATAGTGGGTGGGTGACGGTCGATAATGGTGGCGGCTATGATTGAGGATGATGGTGGCATGGTGGTGGTGGAGGTGGAGGTGGTGGTGGTGGTTAAGTATGGTGGTGGTGGCGGCATGGTGGTAGTTTATAATGGTAGGCAGTGGCAGCAGTTAATAATGAATATGTGATAGCATCTTAATGAAATTAAGTCTCTGTTATAGATCTTAATCATACAGACCTATTCAGACCCATTAAGTTGTTGTGAAGTAAAAAAAACAAACAAATTTAATGATTAAGATTTGGATAATTAAGATTTAGATTTTAAAAATAAACACACTTAATGTGTGAGATCTGGATGATTAAGATCCAGACCTCCATTAAATGCAAACAAATGATGCCTTAAAGTCTGATCAATTTTAGCAAATATTAGACTGATTATGCTATTGCCTTTTTTCTTTCCAGAGCTCCGGGTGTAAAGTTGGACTTTTATCAAAGTCTAATTTCATAATATCCATAATTTCAATTTTAGACCTATATTAGCTGAAGTTGAATCAAAATCGACTAAATTTTTATAACTTCGTAAATTTCAGCTATTGGGTCCTAAAAACGGCTATTTATGTACTCCTTCCAACAACCACCTATTAGATATAGTACTTACTAGAAAAAGAAAAAAACAAAAGGAAAAAAGGACTGGAATTTATTACAACATGAGCGTAATTTCGATAAATGTCAAGGGTAATTCCGTATCTGGATTTCTATAATATTGTCCATGTACTTGGACCGGCACACTCCAGAAGGTGTTTGGTGCACGAACGGAGAGAGAAAGAGAATCCAAAGAAACTCTCTGCCTCTCTCTCGTGAGTATACGTAAAAGTGTATAGAGATTCCCACTTTTTGTTATGCAGAATTTCATGGATTTTGATTGTTATTGTTTTTGTAAAGTAATTAATGTATCTGATCTTTGCGGTGGGGATGCAGGTAGCAGGAAAAGATGGCGTCAGATGGGAAAGTTCATGAATTTGAGGAGGTTGCCAAACACAACAAGACCAAAGATTGCTGGCTTATTATCAGCGGAAAGGTTTCATCTTTTCTCTTCTTTCTATCAATTTGATTTTAGTCATTGATGATCTTGCTTGTACCGGTTATGGATTTTTGGTCATCTTATCTTTGAATCTGTTTGCCTTTTTAAAAGAAGTGTTCTGGTTAGAGACATTGGAATTATCGAATTTGTAGATATTGGGATTTTTGGTGATAGCTTCGATCTAATTACTACTACTTTTTATTGAATTGTTTCTTTGCAATTTCAGTATTTATCTTTCTAATTGACCATTTTAAGTTCAGATTAGGACGATGACCTATCTATTTCCTAACATTATTATCCTTTATGCCTATTGGTGTTCAGTTGAAGTGTCTAACTTTTAAACTTTAACTTTTCCTACTGAAGAAGGAATTTGGTGGTCCGTAAACAGTAACAATCTTTTCTGCGTGTTAATGAAGGTCATGTTAGGCAGCTAATGTTGAACTAAACTTTGAGATTTCAGTCTTTTATCCATGGAAACAAGGGTAGTTGTTTGTCTTATAGGTTTGATGCAGAAAAGCTAGCACTGTGGAACATAGATTTTATTTAGTTGAGAAAAAAGCCAGGTGATTTGTTTTTTATCTTTTATTTTCCCCCCCTTTTTCTCTGGGTCTAAGCTGAGCAGTGAATTGGTTTTTGCCCATTAGTTTTGCTACATTAAAGAAGAGACTAGCATCAAAAAGTTTTGAGAGTCAGCTTAGTTTATCAACTAATATTCTGTGGCACGGTTGTTAGAAGCAAATACCAATAGCGATCTAGCCTGTATCCCCAAACAAGCTTTTTATTGAAAAATTGAAACATGAGTATGGGAGAAATTTGCCTTTTCTATTTTATACTATTCTAACCTAATTTCAATCTTAAATATAAGTATCCATTATGTGTGTTTATAACCCCTAGAGCTCGGAGACCTGTTTCCTGTTGGAGATTGTCGGTTTGGACCTTTGGGTGTGAATAGTATTCCCTTTCTTCGGTAGATGTTTGCTTTCTTTCTTCTTCAGGTTGACTTGTTCTCCATTAAGTGTTGAATGCTTTGCATATTAAGGATATCAAGGTCAAGTCTTTCTAATTCTATGGCTTGAAGGGAATATCTAAACATATGAATCTTGTTTTGGTCATGCATCTCTTCTGTTTTAGTGTTTCGGTTCCGGTGTCCTGAAAGAGGTGAAACTTTGTAGAAATATGCTTATGGCAAAAGACCTCGGGTAAATCAGAAATGTGTATATGGTAATGAAGGCGAAGAAGTATTACTCTGACTCTCCCTTGCCCCTTGTTGACTTCTAAGTTAGCAATGTCGGCTCCTCCTAAAAAAGAAGTAACTAAAGTTCTCTCCTTTAGTCAGAGTTAGAACCTTAATAAGTAAAATTCTAACAATCTGATTTATTATAATAAAATGTTCAACATGTATCTGAGATAATGAAATAGCTTTAGCTTTCTTAGTGACTAGTCATCCAGCTATCCAATAAGTTGCTCAAATCTGGGGACTACTTTAAGATTCCACAATAAACTATTTTCCTCTAGCTGCTTATGCTCAGTTCATCTGTTACGTTCAGTGTATACCAACTTATATCTCATCTTGATGCTCTTCCTTCAAGGGTCCAACAGTTTTATGTTTTTCCTTACCTAAAATGAATTTCAATTTATGTCTGCGTATCAAATTGTTCTCAGGTGTATGATGTAACTCCATTTATGGATGATCATCCTGGTGGTGATGAAGTTTTGCTTTCAGCAACTGGTAATCCCTTTTTTCTCGCTTCAGTTTATTATGGTCACAAGTGTCGTCAGAGGCCTATGTTATACCGAGGGGTCATCGGCACCCGTAAAGTTCGGCAAAAATTCCGTGTATACATGTATATGTCTATCTATATGTCTTTAGAAAGTAGTAATATATCAGTAGTGGACACCCTGTATACAAACCGGATTTTGGTTGAATCCAAAAGTCCACCCCTACCTTCAAATGCTGAGTTCGTCTCTGAGTGTCGTGTGGCACGAATACTGAATTTTGGCTTATTATTGAACAGGGAAAGATGCAACCAATGACTTTGAAGATGTTGGCCACAGTGATTCTGCTAGAGAGATGATGGATAAGTATTACATTGGGGATATCGATGTGTCAACAGTTCCCCTAAAACGTGCTTATGTTCCACCGCAACAAGCCCCATACAATCCCGACAAGACTCCAGAATTTATTATCAAAATTCTACAGTTCCTTGTACCCATCTTGATCTTGGGCTTGGCCTTTGCAGTACGACACTACACCAAGGAGAAGTAATTCTTTTGGATTCCAGTTTGCATCAGTCCCCACTTATTCTTGATTTATGTTGTTGTTGAACGAACACTTGGTTTATCTTGTTTTAGTTCATTATCGAGCTGCAACAACTGAATGTGATCATCAATTTTGTACTGGCCTTTGCAACTGCTTTGTCTGGTACCTCTTGGAAACACTAGATTTGGCTTGTGTTTTTTAATATTTGAGAGTATCTCGTTTCCATTTTTAGATTTTTGTGTGTTCTTCTATTCATATCGGAAGGGGAGCTTTGGCGTATATAGTAAAGTTGCCTCCATGTGACCAGGAGGTCACAGGTTCGAGCTGTGGAAACATCCTCTTGCAAAAATACAGGGTAAGACTGCGTACAATAGTTCTTTACGGTCCGGCCCTTCATCGGACCCCGCGCATAGCGGGGCTTAGTGCATCGGGCTGCCCTTTTCTTCCATTCTATACCGGTTAATTAGTTGCAACCAACCTACTGAATTTTGGGGTAAAAATTATGTTTTTGCTCGCGCCGTTGGAGATGACAAGTTTTGCCTGCCCGCTTTTTGCCAACTATAGAGATTATGTTTACAGATACAGATTTTCTTTTTGGATGAGTTACCTCCTATAGCAAAAGTTGATACCTTATTTATTTTAAATAAATATCCTTTTAAAAAATTATATTCCATAGATACCTTTTAATTTTTTATAGCCAAATATCTATTTATGGTCACCTCCTACCCTTAAGCCATAAAATAAGCTTTGTATTATTTTTCTCTCTCTACTCAAGTTTCTCCTATCCCCTCAAATTTCTCGTATCCCCTACCCCATATCTATTCCCCCCCCCCCCTCCTCTCTCTCTCTCTAATCTTCCACCTTCATCTTACTTTTACAGAGCTTCTCAAAGATATTTTTGTTTGTACAGTTTCGAATCTCATCTCTTTGCCATGGATTTGAACTGCAAAGTTTTGAAGTTTATGATGATGAAAACTCCGGTTGATTCCTGTTAGCGAATCTGCTCCTGTTACATCTTAAAGTATGTGGCAGGATTGGTCTGTACCTCAATTTGAAGAGAATCATATATTGTTCGACCTAATTTTTGGAGAAAGAATCAATCAAAGACTTCTCTTCAGGCTTATGTAGATAAAAATCTTTCTTAATAATTTGTTTGGTAATGGTGGATTCTAATGGATTTCTGGATGGCAGCACCGTTAATTACGGATGGAAACAAACTGAAAATTCAGGTTCCTGTTCCGAGGAAAATCGTTGGCGGCGAGGACGATGTGGTAGATAAGAAGAAAGTGAAAATTGAGGTTCCTATTCCGAGGGAATTGTTATTTCCATCCGCTGAGACGACATTAGGGTTGTTCTTGAACAAAGACGACGGAGTTTGGGGCTGAGCAACTTGAATTTTCTGTTAATATATTTCAATGTATTTCAATGTATCTCGCCGTATTTCCATGTATTTCATTGTATTCATTGTCTTTTTTTTAATTGTATTTCAGTGTATCTCGCTGTATTCCATGTATTTTATTGTATTCACTGTCTCGTTGTATTCCATGAATGTATTCATATATTTTTTTAATTAATATAATTTATGTATTCAGATGTATTATATAATTTCTCTGAAGATTGCTATGTTTTTGGGGTGTTTTTCGGTTGAGAATCTTTTTTATAACTGGAAATACAAAATTTGTGTGTTATAATTGAGTTTGTTGAGTTATATTAGGAGTCTATTATGTTAATTGATTCACTTTCCGTTTAAAAACAGTGTAATCCCCTGTTTCACGCCGTGAATATAGTCGAATACAATAATTTGTCCAGGTGTAATCCAGGTTTCACGCCATGAATACAGTCGAATACACTCGAATACAAAAATCTGTCTTGCTGTAATCCCCTGTTTCACGCCTAGAAATGCTACTGTATTCATGAATACAGTAGCTTAAATACATCGAATACACTCTAAAAAATCTGAAAATATAGCTATAGGAAGTAATATAGTAAATGGTAATTACAACTAGCTAATAACCACTAAAACATAGTGATTTCTGAAAGTTTCTCTTTGTTTTTCTCCTAAAATTTCAGCTGCTTTGTTCTCTTTGCTATATATCCAACTCCTTATGCATTAAGCGGAATAGACTTTTGACTGCAATTTCAAATGTTACGAGGATCACAAAAAGAATAGTAGTGAATGAAGTTTGGAGAATCATGAAATCTCAAGTTTAAATTTTAGCACGACAAAATATATTGGGTGATTTATTCTTATCTGTCTAAGCCTTCAAGGGTAAAATTACTAGATACTTGTCAAAGAGTTGAGTGAACTCATGCGTTGCTCATACATTTTTTTTTCCATTAGTGTATTAGAATTATTAATATAAAACAACGAATTGTAGGACATAATCTTAGAGGGAGAAATTCAAAAATAGCCAGATTTACAAGTGGTCATTCAAAAATAGCCAAAGTTTGAAAAGTAACCGAAATTTAGCCATTTTTCAAGTAAAGATAAATCTGAACGAGAACACTGTTCAAAATCCAGAAAAATACTCCAGTATAATATACAGGAGTTCCAGTATAATATACTGGAGTTCCAGCATAAGTTACTGGAATTCCAGTATAATATACCGGTCCAGCATAATATGCTCCAATCTCCAGTAATTATACTGGAACTTTCCGCGTGTTGGAGTCCTAGCATAATATGCTGGAAGCTCATACACAGGTGCACCGATCTCCAGTATATTATGCCGGAACTTTACGTGTTGCAGCAAAATAGTGGCTATTTTTCAATGACTTTGCAAACGCTGGCTATTTTTGAATGACCAATCCGAAAACTGGCTAGCCCGGGCTATTTTTACGATCTTAGAGTATCCAATATTGACAAAAACTTGAACCAGGTTTCAGAGCTTTTTCAATTACGGGGAAGTATAGGTACCAATTTTAGCCTATATTCTTTCTTTTAAAACCTATTTTAGTCTATCTTGTATATAGTTTGAAACTTCTTTTCACTTATTGACTGGGTATTAAAAAGATATGTGTTAGAACTTATTTGAGAGTGATATTCATGTTCATCATCATACATTTTAACATTGTTGGGTGAATTAAAATAAAAAGTTAAAACTCCATTGTCGGGGTTTTTAAAAGCTTGAAAACTTATAATTGGGTTTTGTGCTTTGTTGATATTTTGACAAATGATGATTGAGGTTCGTTGGGGATATCATTTTTAATTTGTGGTTATTATTTAAAGCTATTTGGTGAAGATTTGAGCTATTAGGTGATGTTTTTCGTGAGTTAAAATTCGTAAGAGACAAAACCCAGTTTTTATATACAACATTATGCAAAATTATAATAATGTGTATAATGTATAATGCATAATGTTGTATAACAGGTACAGGAACATTGTTGCAGAAAAACCCATCAGTTATGCGACTGTAAACTTAAAAACCTTGCTTTCCTTTGGATCCCAATCAAGCATGATTTTGACCTTGATGCCAAGTGCTCTCTGTCTCTGAAGTCATGGACATCTTACAAGTGTGTTTGAGGTTTCCGCTACTCTTTTAAGGATGTGGTTTAAATTATGGGGACAATATAGGTAGGAACAAGTTTGTTCCAGAGCCCATCGACATCTGATCTGAGGTAATCCTTCCGAAGATAGTCAAAGAAAATGCAATATTGCAACAGATTTATGAGCACGGTGATGTTTTTGAACAGCTGCAGCAATAGCAAAGCAGAGCTGAAATATTCTGCAGCTGCACAATTAAGTTTGGTATATCATAGGAAAACTTCATTTAAGCAAAGTTTAGATATTTTAAGATATAGCTACTGCTTTGATGATTAAGAAGCCAAATTTTCGTCTAAGTAGCAAATCAACCACAATGCAGCTGAAACCCATGCTTTTCTTTCACAATTCCATCCCTTCGTTCAGGGAGAACACTCCTTGCAACCAAACCCCATTTTCTTGGGGAAGTTGCAATAGGAGATTCATACAAATACTTCAACTAAAGGCCACCTTAGGCGCATTAACAATAGAACCAAATTAAAATTTCAACACCAAGCATGGTACACAATCTGGAATACAGGCTACCAGCGAATAGCTACACTAAGTTCAACCATTTGCAGCCTGCATGTAGGATATAGTCGCATAAGTTATTTCCTAAGTGCAAATTCTTTTGACATTTGCCTGTTTTTTAGCCAAAAGAATGCAGCGACAGTACTTGACCATAAACTGTCTTCAGGTAGAGCGGTTCTTCATGTGTACCAGAGATGCCTGCAGATTTCAATAGCATCATTCCGCGTAATAACTTCCGAGAAAGCAAAGAGAATAAATTAGTGTAAAATCCAGGAAAGCGCCATAACAAAGGTGTCTATATCTTCTCATGGAGAGTGACCACCAAGTCATGAGCATCATCTAAAAGCTTCCATACATCCAGTTGACCAGCCATGCTCTGACACTCCCTTAAAATTTCATCCATGCTACTATACTTCTCTATGATCTGTTTCCTGCGTTGCAATACAGATGCTGCAATTGCATAAAGCAAAAGATCATCTGTTGGTGGGGCACGCAGCCTAATCCTACTCCAGGCAGACTTCCCAATGCCGGCCCTAATAGCCGCTTGGTCTGCCCACATTACTTCCCATATGCAAAGTGTTTGCTCAAAAGTTAATTCCCTCCTGAAAAGCACTACCACCATCCTGTACACAAAAAAGCAATCCTCTGCTTGGAGCTTCTCCAGGTGTCGATAGAGATGCGAATCCTTGTGCTTGATGATCTTAGAGATAATGTTTAGCTGCCTCCTGATTCCAACCTCATCAAGCCTGAAGTTATGCCGAGCCTTCTTCATGAAACCAACAAAGCACCAAAAAGCTTCATGGTCCTCTGTCATTACAGTAATTATCGGTGAAAGCAAATCGCTCATCCCCTGACAATAGCCAATTTCAGGATCATATAGAGCATAGGCTTCAAGAATGGAGACTAACCGAGCAGCATGCAGGATCCTAGGGGGCTCTAGGTGTTCATAGTCCTTCAACCCAACAGCCTCTGCAACACGGTGTGCCCTGCTCTCTGATACTACAGCTTGAGATGGGGAATATGCTATCCACTCTGCATTAGCACGAATTGCATCAAGCCGAATTATTCGTTGCCATGTACCAAAATCTTCTGCACTACAGGGCCTTGAAGAAACTTCTGTCTTTGAAGGAGAAGGGTCCTCCTTAGAAGTCACTTCAGCAACTTCAGCAGTATTCTCATCCATGCTTTCTGCGGAGGGGACAGTTTGACTAATATCAGGATCTGCAGAGGAATCCGAGTCTGATGACTCAGAGTCAGAGACATCATTTGGCTCCATCACTCGTTTGGAAATGGAAAATTCATCTGCACCACCGGGGTTGTCAGAATCCTCGATGTATGGGCTCCTGTCCTCACTAGAGAGAGATTCCCGGGCAGTAACAACATCTTCATAGTCGGGGGAATCCGTCCCTTCAGTGATATTGCCTTCACCATCGCTTCCCATTCCACCAGTTTCCTTCATTTTAAAAGTTCCATTGCGTTTCAGCAGTCGGCGACAATCTCTCCTAAGGCTCTCATATTCCCTCCTGCACTCACAGATCGTCTATAAGGAGTACGAATCATGCAGTTAAAAGGTAGTTGGCACAAAATTAACACACAGATAACTATGACCCGTCAACTGATTACACGCAGAACCCTCTACATTTCTACAAGATAAAAATAAAGGGTTTTCTTGCATCTCAGTCCTTTTTTCGGCTAGGGAGGATGAATCTGGTTATATTACCTTTTCTGATTTCTTATACAGTCTCTTTCTTCTTTGGAGCTGTTCAACTCATAGCTGCAGAGAGACACAAAGTAAGTCAATCTACTACAACCAAAACGTTCACTGTCGGGGAAAAAGGGGGAAAAAGCATTTGTGGTTGCAGGAACTCATTTTTGTCAAATAAAGAAACGTCACAAGGTATGCATTGTCACCGAACTTGACAGAGCAAAGTAATTACACTGATGCAAAAGCCTGGGAACTGCTCTAAGGCCCCATTTGGGTGAGGGATGCATTAGACAATAAGTGCTTTATCATAAAAAGGTACTCATTTCTTCTCCATATAGGTATCTCATCTGATTTAAACTTAAGACACAACTATTAAAATAAATGTTGAAATTTACAATGTATATTTTTAATGAAAGTAGATCTGACAATAGATATAGGTTTTTTCAAGAATTTGAATTTTATCTTTTTTTTGGTTAATGATTCATTTTTGGTTTAACCATCCGCTGTTCCAAACCAACTGGCCTGACTAATCGGTATTCACAAAGTAGAAACCTCACTATGGGGGGTTTCTCCCTACCAATGAGGACTTCATTCCCAATGCCCGAACCCGAGATATGGTAAAATTGTTATTTCAAATAAAAGTGGGCTTAGAAGAAGATATAATGTTGACTTCTTAAAAGACCTTTTTGATAATAGAATAGAGAAAAAGCTTTGGAAAGTGTAAGGAAAAAAGTATCCCTTCTGGGGATTATAGACAGAGATTTAGATCAACCCAAATATAAACTATGACATTTAATTTGGACTAGATCATCAAGGTGTTCCTAAAATTTCTTAATTTATACATTTGTTTTGGCTAATAAGCACTTGTTAGGCAAAATTTCAGATTTGGGCCTAATTTTTTAAAAAAAACTAAAATGAATTTGGCCAAAACTTTTAATTGTCTTTGCAATTCACTTTCCCACTCTGTCGAATCAAACTACTAAGTTCCCGCTTCAGGTTACTTTGTTATTCAAAAACTAAATTTGAAAAATAATGTGCAAGAAAAAAACACATGTGATGTTTTGATACAAAGTTTCTCCACATTATATACAGTTTTAAGTAGTACTATTCAGGAAATATTAATGTGGAACTATCACGCTCCCAAATGGGACTAAAAACCTCTAGAAACATTGCCCATCGTCACTTCAAACAGTTAAAAAACAATAAAACATTTATAAGGGATTTGTCCATTCTAAGCGTAGTTCTACATGGCAAGGGTAATAGGATCCAGAAACCTAAATTGTCACCAAGAAATGAAGTACTGCTAGAGCAGAGAATAATTTTGAAACAATCTTCTACGGAAAAAATTCGTAACATAATAGAGACCTTGGCAGTGAACCTAACATGCATAACTAGAGGTCCAGCAAGAGGATGCGTTTAAAGATAGACAAAGTATGAGAGAGTACTGGTCCCAAGCATCATCACATAAGAAACAGGTACTACATCTGAATGAAGCACATGGGGGTAGTTATTAAATATATAATTAAGGGGAAGTGTAAAGAGATGATTTTATCAGTCACTAAGAAGTAAATATTCAGATGATAAATTATTATTGATCTAGAGAATAGAACTCCAGTGCCATCGCTCGTGGAAATTAAAGCAACTACAATTGGCTAAACAAAGGAAAATAGGAAAGAAAAAAAACAAGCGCATCATCAAACTTAACAAGGTAATTATTACATGAGAAAGAAATACTTACACCCCAAGCAGAAATGGCCAAACCTCTGCCCTGATACTTGGATCAACACCCTACATGAAAGGGCCAACAGATTAGTCAACATACTCTTGTTTGGAAAGCAAGGAAGGGAAAGGGTGATGGTAAAACTTTTCATAGCCTTCTTTAGTCGTGAAAAGTTTTTAGGCACATAAAAGATCATGTTCCTATTGGAAGAGAGAAGTCTGAAAATTTTGAAAGGAAGTTGGGTAATTCACAACTTTCTTTCACACCTTTTTCGATACCAAGCAAGACAGAATGATCTTTCTCCATCTCCTACTATGCCTTAATACACCAAAGAAGTGAGATAATCTTTTCAATCCCTTTTTGAGAGGAGAAAAGTCTAGAGTAAAAATTAAAGAAAGTTGGGGAATCTATAACTTCTCCTCATGGTCTTTTTGGATTCCATACAAGAAAGAATGGGTTTCTCAACTCAATTTTATGTACTCCCTTAACCAAGCAAGGGAAATCCAATCATTCTCTATTAGTTCCTCTTTTAGGCCTTCCTTTCTACTCCTAACTTCTCAAACAAACCTTTTAATGTTTGTTGCCTTGATAATCTTTGTGTACATTGAGATAAGAAAGATGCAATCATAAGAATTCAAGGTCGCAGAAACTCACTCCGCTTCGGACTTTCTTTAGAAATTTAACTCCACCGTCACGAAGTTTTCCTTCTGGTGTGAAAAAGCCTCTCCACTGTTGGGGTGCAAGAGCACGTTTTCTTTTTCTACGAGACCATGGTGATTTGAGATGACCTCTGAAATGAATGATAAGCATGAATAAGCATTTTGGTAAACAAGAAGCGCACGTCAAGGTAACACTAAATCTTTGTTTTGTTAGGTGTCAGGGTAACAACATCAGAAGCTCAAATTAGATCCATCTGTCAAGACTTATATTCAGCATAATTAGCAATTTCACAATATCACTTCAAAACTCACTCTAGAAAACAAGGGTTTTGCAAAGGTTAACCATTATAGCGATAAGAAAATAATCATAGGTAAAACTGCAACTGAGAAAGATAAAAGAAAAGAAACAACTGGCAGGACCCCAAGTCCACAACCACAAAACAATGTGCTGAAGGTAATGAACTTATAACAACTTGAAAGAAGGAAGGAGTTGCAGGATATTTAGTGTTCAACCAGAAAGTAGTACATATTATTACTGCTAAATAAAGATAACATAATCTATCCGTGAGACTATCTTTGATAGGCGAGGTTTAGCAGCAGGAATAGGGACTTATTAATGATTCACTCTTCAAATCAGAATATCCAAACACAAAGCACTCCTAATTGCCTCCAAATAACATTTCGCTAAGAAACCATGTGGAATCTAAGGGTGAGACCGCAATGGAAGAGAAGTAATACTATTTTGCTACTTTAAGGAGTTCTCAATCTTACAGGGTTGTGGCATCTTCATGCTAAATCAGCACAAATATGGTAAACATTTAGCAACACAACTTAACTAAGAAAAACTTCGAAACCTTTCAGTATAAGCAAAAACATATGGTGAAAGAAACACTCCTAAACATTAAATTCCACTGTTAATGAGCCTACCGTATCCAAACAATATCCAAATTTCACAGACAGTAACTTAAAGATTGAGACTCTGGCATAGAAACTTAAAAAACACATCAACACCTAGAAACTACCTAGTACCTACATCAGAAATTCCCCTTCAACTAGTGCAACGTCACCCCAACCCACACCCCAGAACCTCGAAATAAATATATAACATCCCTATCCTGGGAAAGATGAAGAGAGTTACATATCATATCAGTTTCCATTTCATCTGTACACTTAATTTATCCTCATAAAAACAAACTCTGTGAAACTTCAAACATGGAACCCTACTTGTGTCACCGGGAGAAAAGAGAAGGAGAAATTAGCAAGAGGTCGACAAAATTGTAACTTTCATACTTTTAATCACGTAAGCAGGCAGATAGAGAGACTATCGCCCGCATACATCCAATAAACAAAGTTTATCAACAAATGAAGGTTTCCAACCTTGTCTAATTTAAATAAAAGATATTACTATGACTTGTTCAGAGCTTATAGCTCAAGGAATAACACCAGTTCATTGACAATAAAAAATCCAATCATAAAAATACGAAAAATCTAAGGACCCTCCAGACATAGCAGGACTGAGATTGAGCGATGATCTGAAGTATTCAACTTTAGCACTGGGGCACATCCTAGCCAAAAGAAGAGGACCTCAGATCGAGATCTGAAAAACAGGTATGCTTATATAAAATGGCAGATGAATGATCAAATGGAACAGTTATAGAAACTGAGAAGAAGCAGATCGAAGCAGTTTTAGGATAGGAGAGAGACTCACCGATTAGAGGAAGAAGAAGAAGCTGGTGAGGATGCAACAACGAATAAGACTGATCTCAAATGAATCCACGACGATGACGATGACGGTGACGGTGATGATGAAGACGGTGAAGAGGAATTTGAAGACGACGAAGTCTGACTTCGTTTGAGAGCTCTCATCTACTTCTACAACTGACTCACTGTTTTAACTGTGAAAAGAAAGAGAGAGAAGAAGATCTACTCTACAGATTTCTAGGGTTTCAATTGAGTCCGGATATGTAAAACACACTCTTCCTTTTTTTTCTTTTTTTCTTTTTGGTTACAATATGTTTTGAAATTTGTGCGTTTTTACCTAGTAGAGTAGAAAACGGCGGCGGCCAAGGCGAGTCCGGCCAAGGCCGTGACTGCAAAAGCTATACCGGCATTGGAAGGCTGACGGTCCATCCAGAAAGCACCACCGTTGCCTCCGCCGCCAACGCCGCCGATGAATAATCCACCGAGCTTACTGATTTTGGTGCCGATTGATTCAACAGCATTAGTAGGAGCCCCGAACACGGAGGTGAAGAACGAGAAAACGAGCATGGAGATTGATATGAATCTGGAATCACGAGTCTACCCCTGAGCTGCTGTACCGTGCCGATTAGATTTTCCACCATAACCAACTCAACCTTTCCTTTCCCTTCTTCCTTCAACTGCTTTTTCTTTTTGGGGGGTTTGGGATTTGCCCCTTTTTTTTTTCTTTTTCTTTTTCTTTTTTCTCACTTTGGTTTTGCTATTCTCATCACTCTTTCTATGTCTCTCTTTAAGTATGCTCTCTTTGATATCACTGCATGTGAGAGAGAGAGAGAGGGAGTCTAATATCCTAGTGGGTTTTTGTATGTGTGGGGACTGTTTATTTCTCTTTTTTTGTAGTGGGGCTAGAGAGAGAAAGCACTGCACAGAGGACTGCCCTCTTCTCTCTTCCAGCCTTTCGCTTTTTTGTTACCGTGAGGATTTCTTTTGGGCTTTTTAATTGCGGAAAGGGTTAAATATAGCGATTTTTTCATTCCTATATATTATTGGAAATTTTATTACCCTAAATATTCATATTTTAGTAAATTACCCTATTTATACAAGTTTTGTTTACAAAATATATATATTCCACCTTAAAAGGCTCCCAATTCATTATTAGTGTTACCTCTTTTACTTTTTTTTCTCTTCTTCTCTTCCCTATTTTTTTGATGCCCTATACTAATCGTGCTTGATCACATCCAGGAGAGAATTCGGTGTATTAATACTAACATTTTTGCCGCATTTCATGCATGGTTGGATCCCAGTTGGCCGATCCTTGAAAATTGAATATGATCATATGCATAAGTTAATCAATTGCACTCGTTCGACACAATTTAGCAAGATATACGAAGTCCTAACAGCAACAAGATATACTATCACTAGGCAGCACCCATGTTATGATACAAGATTTTGATGCTTTTCTACTCATAGATAGAGCGTAGATATATAATATTGAGTACACAACTGGTAATTCCTTTCCTCTCTTTGAAAGGCAAAAACAGGATATCGAAAAAAGAAAACATGTTGTGGAGCTGCTCAAGCCTAAGGAAACAATGCTATTTTGCAATGCTGACACATAACTAATCTTAGGACGATTCATGTCTTTACAAATTAAATTTTCTCGTTAGGTAATGATGCTTTCAATTTAAACATGATAAACACCAAATTGGATTTCTCAAACCGAACAGACCACTGCCACTTCATTCCAAACAAATACCCCTCATGCATACATTAATTATAACAAAGACACATGTAGTGAACCCATCCCAAAATATTAGGAAGAAAGAGCGCATGGAGAAAGCTCAAGAATAATACAGTAAAATAATTTTTGTTAGGTTTGAATTTATAAAATCAGTTTTATCTGTCTCTAACTCTCTATCTGTACAATTTATTCGGTTGTCAGTTTGTTAACATATTATGAATTCGTTATATGCACAAAATTTATTCATGAGAATTTTTTCGTACACTATCCAGTTAAATACAACTACAATAACGTACAACTTAAATACAAATTTTATACAGTATGTCTTTTGTATATTTTATATCTGATTTATACATAGTAAAAATAAATTTCATACAACTAATTATGTTTTATACAATTTATCTACAACTTATGTATAACTTATCTACAACTTTCACACATTATTTCTACCCAGTTAAATACAACTACAATAACATACAACTTAAATAAAAAATTTATACAATATGTCTTTTGTATCTGATTTATACATAGTAAAAATAAATTTCATACAACTAATTATATATTATACCACTTATCTATAATTTTTATATATTATTTCTACTCAGTTATATACAACTACAATATCATACAACTTAAATATAATTTTAATACAATGTTGTTCAACTTCCATACAATAGTTAAAAAAAAAATAACAGAATACAATTTTTCTACAAATTTTCTACAATTTCGTAAATATAATGTATATCATGTCTTCTTCTTCTTCTTCTTCTTCTTCTTCTTCTTCGAGTTTCAATCTGAAATTCAGCCAAAACCAAGTCTAATCTTCACCAAAATCCCTCAAAATTGAGATATAAACTCCAAACCATATTCCCAATTGTTTGCAACAACACCCAATCCAAATAAATAATAATTTTTGAAAATCCAAATCCGAATTCAAAGTGTCAAAGCTTTTTAATGGTTGTCAATGGTGGAATTACTGCTCTCTTTTCCTTTGCTTTACATTACTGAAATTAGGGATTGAGAGATGGAGAGAGACGTAAAGGGAATTCCCAATTCTTTGCAACAACATCCAATTCAAACAAATAATATGTTTTGAAAACCCAAATTCGAATTCAAAGCTTCAAAGCTTTTTAATGGTTGTCAATGGTGGAATCGTGGGTGGGTGCAAGATACGTGGGGGAAGAGGATGGGATGTGGAGAGAGAAACGTGGGGGAGTGAAAGATATGTTAGAGTAATTTTAGGACACTAATTATTATTATTAATTCCCTTAAAATGTACATAAATGGTATTTGGGCATATAAAATGTAATTATAGTAAAACTTGAGTAGGGAGGGTAATTTAGTTTCATATAGTGTATAGGAATGTAAAAATCCTTTTATTATTAAATTAAATAGAGGATTTTTTACAAATGACTATAGTTTAGAGGTTTATTGCAAGATGCACTTATAATTTAGCTAATTATCTTTTATAGCTATTAATTATTTATCATAAGATGTATGTCGCTATTCAATTCGATCGTATACATCTGACTTCAATTCGGATGTATATGTTCTTATATATTTTATATTGTATTCAATTTTATTGTATTGAATTCGATTGTATTTAAACAACAAAAAATTAAGAAATAGGGTGTATGTCGTTGTATTCAATTCGGCTGTATACACTATATTCAATTCGGCTATATTCATTCTTAGCTATTTTACACTGTATTCAATTCGACTGTATTCAAACAATAAAAATAAAAAAAGCAGGGATATTCGATTGTATTTAATTCATTGTATTTATTTGTAGCTACTTTATACTATATTTATTTTATTATTTAATTCGATGGTATTCAAATAATAAAAAATCAAAAAATGCGAGGATTTGTCAAAAAATCTCCTTTAAAATACATAAATACAGGCAAAAATACAAACAATAAACTGTATTTACATTCAAAAATACATAATATACTCAAATCCGGCCAGATCTAAACCAGCTAGATTTGAGAAATACAGGAAGCAAAATATAGCGAGCAAGGTCGCCGAAAAAGCCCTCGGTTTAGTTGACGCCGACAATGACGGCGGGGTGATGACAACCGCCAGATCTGGAACTCGAAATCATAAAAAAAAGGGGCCAGATCGAGAAAATAGGAGAAAGAAAATGGCGAAATAAAGAAGAAGAAGAAGAAGAAGAAGAAGAAGAAGAAGAAGAAGAAGAAGAAGAAGAAGAAGAAGAAGAAGAAGAAGAAGAAGAAGAAGAAGAAGAAGAAGAAGAAGAAGAATTTTTTAAATTATATTTATTTAGGTTGAATATGATGTATAATTTTGTTAGACCATGTAGTTTTTCCAATTAAATATTATTTAAATTTGTTCTCATTATACTTTTTCGTTTATTTGCCGAGCAAAATTCTAAATGCATCCTTATTATAATGGATATAACACGTAGCCGTCTTTAATTAATTTACCAGCATATAAAATAAAATTTCAAATCGGCCTAAAACTCATGACCCGTTGTCCTCATAAGACATAGTCGTCTCTCTTGCGCTCGTGCGTTCTCTCTCTATATCACTACTGCCGCCAGCAGAGCCTGCTCTTCTCCATCCATCATTGTCTCTCCTCCTTTGTGTCTTCCACTTTCAAAATCGTCAGCGCTGAAAGTACTATAGGTGAACTCAACCTGAGCACCATCGAAACACCACAAAACCCCACTAGTAACCTCAATAAAGAGCCAAGCAAATCTAGATCTAATAAAAGAATGACCCTTTTTTTGTCGCCTTAGCCGGAGTTGGGTGATTGTGCTAGGTGATTTAGGGAACTCCGAGATCCGCTGAGATTTTGGGTATTATAGGTGTATAAAACTTGAAGAGGTTAAGGGGGCAATTCATAAGATGAGAAGAGGAAGAGCGATCGGGCCAGCCAAGATTCTTGCGAAATTTTAAAAGAGCATGGCAAAGTAGGTATGGAGTGGCTAACTGGGTTGTTTAATATTATTTTTAGAATGACTAAATGCCAAAAGAATGAAGGTAGAGTACAATGATCCCGTTGTAAAAGAATAAGAGTGATATCCAAAATTGTAATAACTATAGGGGTATCAAGCTACTACATCACACTGTAAAAGTTTGGGAGAGGGTAGTAGAGATGGGGATGAGGAAGAATGCGTTTGTTTTCGAGAACTAATTTGGATTTTAGATGGATTTTTGGACATACTATGAGAGATAAGATTAGGAACGAAGAAATACAAGACAAGGTGGAAGTGACCTACGTGGTGGACAAGACGAGATAGGCGAGGCTGAGATGGTTTGGGAATGTGAAGAGGAGGAGCACAAATGCTCTAGTAAAGAGGTGCGGGATGTCGGCAGTGATAGGTCTAAGGAGAGGTAGAGGTAGATCAAGAAAGAATTGTGAGGTAATTAGAAAGGACATGACACATCTTCAGCTTATCAAGAACATGACTCTAGATATGAGCACATGTAGGTCGAGGATTAAGGTAGAAGATTACTAGGTCCTGAAGTGATTTCTCTCTATGTGAGAGAGCATAGTTCTACTTTAGAGCACTTTATATGATCCCTCTTCTTCTTCTTCTTCTTCTTCTTCTTCTAATAATAATAATAATAATAATAGTTCTACTACTACTACTACTATTATTATTATTATTATTATTATTATTATTATTATTATTATTATTATTATTATTATTATTATTATTATTATTACCGAATGCTTTGATTTTATTACTACTATTATTTCATCTTTAGTTATCCTTACTATTTTTGTTATCAATATTTTTCTTTTCCTCAATATTTTCATCTTAGCTTTTTTACTCTTGTATTTTTCAGACTTATTTTGAAAAACGTCTTTCTTTAGCCGACAGTCTATTGGAAACAGCCTCTCACCGCACACAAGTTAGGCGTAAGGTTTGCGTACACTTCACCCTCCCCAAACCCCATTTGTGAGATCATACTGAATATGTTGTTGTTGTTGTTGTTATAGCCGGAGTTCATCGTCGTTGAGCACCAAAGTGACCACGAGCACCAATAGTAACCATTCACACCAGAATATTATAGGTCTCACTGAATCTGGCTGTAGAAGGATTTCTTACACTTCCGGTGAGTTAGCCGGAGTTCGGCTACTCATGTATTGCTCAGTGTTTGCTCAAAAAATGTTACACATCTTACGAGTACTAAACAATATAAATTAATCCCGGATAATCATAGCAAATCGTAGTAATTCGTTGGACCAAATGAAAGAAACT